TGCAGAAGACCGTGCACCTGGAATTGTCCTCACTACCAGTGCAAAAATCTCTGTGGAGAGGAATGCGATCGCCCTCGCTGTGATGCTCCCTGTCCCAAAAAACTGCCTTGTCGCCACCCCTGTATTGGCTTGTGTGGAGAAAACTGCCCCACTGTGTGTGCCATTTGCCATCCTAAGAAGCTTTCTTCAATGTTAGCGGATGGACGTGGAAACAAAACGGAACCCACACGATGTTTGCAACTTTTCGACTGTGGTCATATCATAAAGGTTGAAGAGATGGATAGGTGGATGCTCCGAGAACTGGGTAACGATGGTCAGCTAAGGCGATGCCCAAAGTGTTCTACATCAATTACATTCAGCTATCGTTATGGAAATATCATCAAAAGGGCACTGAAAAAAATTGAAAATGTAAAGAAAACCGTATACGAGATCCTATACGAAGAAATCACTTCTGCCAGTCTTCTTCTACCAAAACGTTACCTGCGCAATGACGTAACCAAGCTTAAGTTTCCGCCAATGGTTCTACGTGTTGTACAGTCGTATTCAAACACAAGGAACTGGCTCGATTTGCCGCACGCGCGTGGCCGCTTTGCCATTTTTATGTTCACACTAAAAAATCACCTGTTCATTCTACAGCAAGCGCAAAGAACAGATGAAGTCCTAAAAAAGGCGTTTATTGGTCTTCGAGGAAGTTCACAACAACAAGTGGAGCTGAAAGAACTATGGAACAACACCAAAGATGCAATCGAAAAGATTAAAGTGTACCTGGAGGAACCTCAACTTGATTTGAAAACTCTAAGTCAAGTGTTTGAACAGACAAGAAAGTTCTTTCTTTTCTCTCAAGTTTTAGAGGCCCAAAGCAAGGCTATCATGCGTCAGATTCCTTTGTCAAGCAATGGTTCAACTCGACTGAGACTGGCATGCCATCGCTTCAGAGTCTTTCTTGAGGGTAACGACGATGTTCTAGATCTCGAATGGCTGAGAGAAACGGTCAACTTGTTGAGCACAGAGATGAGCCTCCCACTCCTACCGCTTGAGGGAGCAAAAGACTTCGCAAATTTCCCAGGGTACCAAAGAGAGGTCTGGAAATCATGCGACCAAGGTCACGTTTATTTCACGGGATGGATAGTGCGAGGTGGCGAAGACATTCCGGTGGGAGGCGAAGGATGCAGCAGGTGTACAACAGAGCAATGAAAATGGAAGAAGAACAGTTAACTGAAAGGAAAAGTGCCATTACTTGTCATGGCAACTAATTCGTATGGAGTGCTTCTGATAAGGTGGAACGGTGAAAAGTTCTGGAAAAATGACAATTCACCACGTGGTAGTGTGCGATGAATCAAAATTGTGATTAAAGCATGAAGTTAAAAGAGCATGAATCCACTGAAAGTTATTGAAGAAGGCTGCTGCAGACTAGAAGCACTAACAGCAGTTCATCTGGGGTTGAGTTTTGAAACGGCATGACAGGACGTCACAGATTTGATGGACTGCTATAAGCAACTGATTTCTAGACGAAGAAACAAGAAGGCGTGAAGAAGGCCTTTTTAGCTCATGAAAATCCCTAATGCATATACTAACGAAAGTATTTGACGCAATCTAACCGTAAGAAGAGAAACTAGGTTGGAAGGTGAAATTGAAACGTCAACTAAGCCTGAGTAAGGTGGAATGTTGTGCTGCAGGCTCTAGATGAATAAGTGATTCTCCAGAGATTGCACCGGCTTAACAGCATGCCTTGTAATGGGGATGCTAAAATCTCATGCAAAAGATGAATAACTCATAGCCAGGGCAGTGTCTTAAATAAAAGGAACTGCCTTTCTCAATGACAGTGCTCGGACTCATTTCTATTTATCGTCTGGTATCTGCAGCTGTAGCTGGAACTTTTCGACGGCGGGAGCAGTTGAAGAGATACATGTCCTGTTACAGAATGTGCAAACTGCTGTTCGCAGCCCTGCAGGCAACAACTGTGTTTCGGAAGACGTCTTCATTGCCCTTATAACCATTGCAATAATATCTGTAGAATGGAATACCACAGCCCTTGCTGTAAAGTCCGTCAGCACCAGTTTGTGCAAAGGAGCAGTCTACAATAGCTCTCAAGACGTTCAAACTCAGTATGTTTGTATCCAGTTAGACGGGCGCGATT